GAAACGCTACTACGAATATCCAGGATACAGTGTATTTTCTTGGGTAATAAATCATTCGAATCATTGTCCTTCGATTATGCAAATATATGTACATAACACTATCATAAAATTACCACTCGAATACTTAACCTTTATCTTGTAGTTCACGTGTCTATTTATATAAACAAACAGGCTGTGCCACGCCAAATTAAGAAAATTAATTAAAGATTAATCAAAAGGCTCCAAAGAAGAATCCAAAAATTACATTTTTACATAAAATCACCGTCATTTGACTTTAAAGTCCCTCAAAAGATTATGTAGAACTACGTCACTGTTATTAAATCAGAGAACTTTAATGGACGTAGAACTACGTCATCAAAAACAAGATCATCGAATCCAGAAATTACATTCAAATACAATTTACACAAAATCACCGTCAGTCAGCTCCAAAATTTAAAAAAACTGACGTAGAACTACCCAAAAATTATTCTTTTATATAAAATCACCGTCAGTTGGCTTTAAAGTAAAAAAAGAAAAGAAAAAAATGACGTATAATTACGTCAGCAGTATTAAGTCAAAGAACTTAAAAAATACTTAAAAGATATACCGAATTAGTCAAGTGACAGATAAAAAATGTTTACGATTATACGCAGCGCAAATGGAGTAACAGACGTTGCCGCGTAATGGAGAAGCGTATTTCGCGCGCAGCGGTTCAAAAATAGCGGGACCGGCGGGTTAAACGGTGCGCGGGGTCCTCGCCTCGTGTGCCACGGATTCCACGAGCGTCTCGTGGCCGCGTTGCGTTATGTAACGTAACTACGTGGTGTAACGGGGCGGTTGGCGGTGTGGGCTTTTACATTGTCCGTTTCTGTGCCACGCACCACCTCTTCCCCTCCTGTCGCGGTGCTTTCGTCGCTTGGGGACAAAAAAAATCGATAGCCTCTCTCCCCACGGTTCTTTCTCCCTCTCTCTCTCTGTCCTCTTGTCTTTCCCTTTCCTGCACATGCATACATATATATGTATATATACCATCATCCCCCGGCATGTGTGTCTCCGGGTTCCGCGCACCCCGTGTGTACTCGGTACACCGTGTGTACCGTAGTTCTCTGGCTGTTCCTGGCGTGCGGCAAAAAGGTGTACAAGCGAATGACAAAGCCTTCGATTTTTTTTTCCTCCTTTTCTTTCGCTTCCTTTTTTTCGCGTTTATGCACGACTCCATCCCTCTGCTGCCGGCCCTACAGCCACGGAACACGCGTGGCTGAAGAGAGACTCGAATCGGCCGAGTGGCCGACCCTGTCTTGCGGATACGGGGCGCGCCCGGTCGAGTAGATGGCGCGCGTGAGTTATTGGCGCCGCGGCCATGCCGGGACCGCGGGATCACACGGTTTGGGCTAGGTTATTGAAGACTGGATGAAGTATCTCGCGAATTATACACTTAGATTTGTACTCATTAATACTAGGTTTACGGAACGCGTTATTCTGACGCACTTCGAATTTCTGAAACCGTTTACCCTTAAATAAGAATAATCCCTACAAATATAAATTTTATATAATTTATATCTCATTGTTTCATTTATTAATTAATCGAATATAATTGTATTGCTTTTTAAATTCAGTTTTGAACAAAGTGTCAGTGCATGTCCATAAAGATAGGCATACAAGACATGTCCATAAACCTAGTGTTAATTGCTGACATATGTTTCTGCTATTGTAGTAAGTATGTACAATACCTTGTCCATTTGTTGTTCATTACGAGGTTTTATTATCTCGCGACAATTTACGAGTGAAAAATATATCTTTATTGTTGAAAAGGAAATTAGTTCCACTTAAATGTGCAATATTTTGCCTGTCTCATATTAGTGCACCGAACGTAAATATACAGAGTGTTCAAGAAAACGTGGGGACAAATTTTGAGATATAATTCGGAAGATTACCTCCGAATGAGTAGAGTGCGACTTCGATGAATCTGCACGCGAAGAATACAAAGTATGCGAGGAATAATTTTCAAGTGAAACTGACCCCCAAAGTTTCTGCATTCCTTAGTTCCTTGGATTTAATATTCCCACGCTACGAGCCAAACTTTCGATGTTCCAATTATTCAGCTTTTTGCGTCCAGTTGCAGAAGAAGTAGCCAGAAGTTCAGAAAGTGTAATATTCATGCATATGGTCACGGTCACGGTCGTGCGAACAGCACACAGAGTGGCTAAAGGGTTAACGAATCCGTGTCTTTAGCAAATTTGCAGAGTCTCGATGAATATTCGTCTTACTGCACTTTCATCCTGACATTTCGGACTCTGTTTAGACCGAAAAGCTTCTTAATGTTGTCGGACTCCAAGTACGTTCGAAAACGCAGGGGAATTCACGCCAGAGGACACTACTGCTGATAGTCAAAGCTACCTCGCCGTTTGAGATCGTTCTTGCTAGGCGAAGAGCAATCTGGATGTTTGCACGATGTTTGTTTCCATTTGCTTTTGGCCAAGCACGCTCGTGGCCAGTGTTTCTAATTCGGGGGAAGTTGAAACATGTACTGTGCGGTGAAACAACGACTCGATCTTGGGCTAGCGACCGAATAGTTTGATCCCAGTGTCTGGACACGTCTCTGTTGGCACGGGAACTTCTGCTCCAAGAATTTTACGATTCTGGTCGAATATTTTAAGAAATTACTATAGTCTCATCTATACTTGAGTATTGGACTGAGGCTGAAACCATTTTGGTTTTAATTAAGACGATAAGAGTAGTTCGAAGAAAAGAAAAGGTGGATGAAGACGTAATAGTGACTTAAAAATTCTTGGAGGTAACTTCTTTTGGAGCAGAATTAAATATGAATAAATGCAATTTAAGTTCAGTTAAATTTAATACCACGTTCAGTAAAACGAAGAAAATAATTCGATATACACGACGTTTGTAGTACGGTTCGTTGGAGATACGGGTCGTGGTGGCGCTAGTGAGTTAAATGCAAAATCCTCTTAAGAGGTCGTAAGAGATGTATCAATGTAATACTGAAATTTCTCATTCTCTAGTCACCTAACAGTAACTCTAGAGTGTTTTTCATGACTAACCAATGATGCATGATTATAATAAATAAATTAGAAATATCGCTCGTATCTTACCGACGTAATTTTGAATCTTCTCGTTTTAAATATCTCGATTCGACTCTTGTGTACATATTACGTAAATTAAATATTAAAGACAGCAGATGTAACCCTGACTTGGAATAGCCGAAAACGCAAAGCTCGGGGGCCCAAGACGGAAGCTCTGATGCAAATCTGTTTAGGGCATAGAACGCTGTTAGGAAGCACCCTCGGCCACGAAAGAGTAACAAATCAAAAGTTCCTCGGTCTCGTCGGTGACGATCTAGTGAACCGTTTCGCTTTCATACACTCCATAGAAGGAGCAAGAACGGCGCGAGAGCGGGGGGTCCGCGACTTATAAATCACGTCGACAATCGGGGTTAGCGCAGGCACCCTTGGAAACCTGTTCCACCGACCGTCTCTCGTCGGCCATTGTTCCGCTCCATTTCGAACTTTCCTGACCCGCTGTATATAAAAGGGTCGCGTCTAATCGCACGTATCACGCATGTTAATTAACAGACCGGGGCCCTTTGTACGTCGCGAACAACGACGCGAGATAACCGTAAATTGCTTTCAATTTAACACGCGACCGGGGACGATCATTTGTCGCGGGATCGCCAACTGTGCGCCCTCCTCTCTCGTCATCGTCGTTCAATAATTCCAAAAAATATTTTTTTTTCTCCCTCCTTTTCTTCTCGGAGATCGGACGAGATTTCGAATCGTCGTGAGGGGTTGATGTGAGATATTTGAAATAGAATTTTGATTATAATCTTGCGAATATAGTATCGTGTATGCTTGGTATAGTGAACTAAATATGGTATTTTGAATTCCTTTCTATTTTTTTTTTTTATTTTTCTTCGGAGATCGAATGGATTTCGAATTTTCGTTAGGGGTTGACGTGATAGGCGTTCGAAAAAGAATTTTGGTTTTTATCTTCTGTATATACTATAGTGTACAATTGATATAGTGAACTAAATATGAAATTTTGAATTCCTTTTTTTCTTTTTTTCTTTTTTGGTGATCGAACGAAATTTCAAATTGTGGTGAGGAGTTGACATGATAGACGTAAAAAAAGAATTAGTCTTCTATATATATTGTAGTATATAATTGGTATAGTGAACTAAATATGGAATTTTGAATTTCCTCTGCTCTTTTTTTTTCGAAGATCAAATGGATTTTGAATTATCGTAAAAGGTTGACATGCAATATTCGAAAAAGAATTTTAATTTTATTCTTCTGAATATTGTATCGTGTATACTTAGTATAGTGAACCAAATATGGTATTTCGAATTTTCTTTTTCTGTCTTCGAAGATCAAATGGATTTCGAATTATTGTGAGGGGTAGATATTTCCAAAAAATATAATTTAAATATATTAAAATATATTATACACTCTACTATAGTGCATACTTAATATAGTGAACTAAATATGATATTTCGAATCTTTTTGTTCCTTTGCAACTGTTGATTTTAGAAATTTATACTATACACCGTATGTTATTTGGAAGTGTTATTACCCACATACATAACGACATATACTAATAGTATAAAATAATACAGTACTATAAAAAACTATATATTACGATAAAAATGAGACGATAGAAAACAGTTCTTTTTAAAATAGACACCGAGTATACAATACTTCCAAGTGACATAGTACAACAGTTCAATAACCTTCTCAGCTCGTCGTGCTGAAAATTAATCGCGAATAGGGGTGCAGAGGGTGTCGATCGAGGGGTGTTCAGAGGTTCGAAATTTTGTCGATCGTCTTTACCCAGTGAGACCCGAAGACAGCATCGGATGAAACATGAAAGACCTAATTTGCGTTTGCTCTCAGTCTGCACCGTCGACTTTGTCCGGTCTACGTACGCCATGCTCTCTAATTATGCGAGCAAAACAAAACGGAGAGGCCGGAATAGGATTAAGTTAATGAGATAAATGAAGTACTCACCTATTTTTCTCCAGCTCGTTATGAGTTGTCCTGCAACGGAAAAGAACGTTCTTGTTAGACTTCAAAGCGGTGAAATCGTTTGCTTTGCGATAGTAAGAACGGGGGCGACGTGGAGGGGGAAAAACGACGACTTGGAGCAGGGACGAAAATTAAAACCGGCGCGCAGCAAACGCTCCATTACACGCGAACGTTCCCTGTTAAACTAAACAGCATGCGGGAATTTCGGAAAAAAGTTTCATTTACTCGAATGTCAGGAATTTTGTACACGATTACGCGAGTGGTGGGGGGGGGGGGATATTGCTCCAAGAATTATACTTGCGGGGTACGTTGCAGTAGCGTATATATAAGCATCCCTTTAAATATAATAATATACAAGACTATATAATTCAAAATATTAATAGCTGAGAAATTTTGTTATTAGGAAATTTAGAGAGTTTTTAATTAAAAGATTTGGATGATAACGATAAAATTATAAATATTTTTTAAATGATTTTTTTTAATGATAAGATTATAAATATTTTGAATTTCAAAATCTGAAAGGAGGAAAGTTAAGAAATATTTTAAATCAAAGGTTTGAAATTTTGAAAATTTTTTAGTTTAACGGTTTAGATATTTTTGATTTATAAATATATGAGATTGGAAATTTGAGGATTTGCGAGTCGAGAAATTTATAGTCTGGGAATTAGAAAATATGTGAGTTAAAAAATGTGAAAATTTGGAAATTTGGAAAATTCGAGATGCACGTAGAATGTGAAACGAGGTTGAAAGTCGATAGCTGCAGCTTTAAAACGTCTAATTGCAGACATTTCATGGTCGACTTCGATGCTCCCTTTGATTGACGACCACTCGTGAAACGAGTTCAATGACCTAATCACGCAGTCATTTAAGACACAAACATACGATGAAACTGCTTTAATATACGCCTCGTATCAACGTTGTTCAAAACAAATGTATCGACCTTCAGCGCACTGATAACATACGCTTTTAGCAGTGCTTTGTGACGATTTTGTTTGATTAATCTCGCGCGATAAGCCGCTGAGTTCATATTTAGAGAAAACAATTAAAATCTTTGAAACGATGAATTTCTTGGAACACTTGTAATAATCGCTCCATCAACGGTATTTCATAATTGAAAATACAAAATTTTGTATTAAACTTTTCCATTTTTCATTTTCCAAATTTCTGAATTACCGAATTTTCCAAATTCTGGATTTTTCAATTAACGAATTTCCAAATTTTTTAATTAACGAATTTTCAAATTTTCAAATTTTTTAATTAAAGAATTTTCAAATTTACAAATTTTCTAATTAAAGAATTTTCAAATTTTACAATTGACGAATTTTCAAATTTTCGAATTCTCACTTTCCCTATTTCTCAAATTTTCGAATTTCCAAACTTTTAAATTTCTAAATCTCCGAATTCCCAAATTTCCAAATTTCCGATTTTTCGAATTTTCAAATTTACGATTGTTCAAATTTAAAAATCCCCAAACCTCCTATCTCGCAAAACGTCAACCACCCAACTGTTCAAACATGCATCGCTCAAAAACTACATCAAACCCAAAACCAACGCAAGCACTGCACTACCAACTCGCCGCACTCGCTCTGTCGAGAAACAAAAAAGAAAAAAAGAAAAAAAAAAGGAAAAACGAAAAGCAAAAAGGTAGGCGAAAATAAAAAGAACATCAAGCGATACATCAAACGCGACAGTGCGCCCGCAAAAAGGGAAGATAAAAAACCTGCAAAAGAGAAGAAAAAAGGAAAAAAAAGAAAGAAATATAAAAATGTACGTCGCGGAGACGTGTTCGCGATACGAACCTGCTGCCCTGGGATTTTTTCGTCTTTGGCCTTTTTGTGACCGTCCGCATATCATCGGGCATCGGCATCGTCGAAGCGTAGCCATGTTCAGCTTCTGCAATGACAAACCAATCGGTCGGTGAGTTCTGCCGATCCGCTCGCATCGCGCGAATTCCAAAAGATACCGGCACGGCCGGTGGAAAAAAGCCCGCGCTCGCTCGCTCGCTCGCGGCGAACACGACTCGTTAAAGCGCGCGTACACACGGCCGTGGCGGAATAAAGTCACGTTCCGTCTTGCCGACATAACTTACTGCGGCATTAAAGCTTCGCCTGGACACGAAGCGGCTCTCGCTTCCAGAGACAACGGGAGAAAGAGAAAGAGAGAGAGAGAAACCGGCCGGGAGACGCGGAGCTGCTCGAAAAGCGCGGAATTTATGTTACGATTTCAGTTAACGCACGCCGCGTGTTCCAGGGAACCAAGCCTCACCGAACCACGCACGCCGTTGACCTCGAATAAATTCGAAAATGTAACAATGCGCGAACGAGAGCGACCGTCGAACCGGCCGCCAGCCAATTTACGACCTATCGCCAGCCTCGAATCGTCTGGATAGAGGTCGTTAGGCTGAGATCTGGGGATACAGGCTGCCTGCACAGATGAGGCATCTCGGGGATTCTACCAGCTAGGCTGTTTAGGCTTCCCCGAGTAACTAGGAACTGCGGTTTTGGGGGAATAATTTGGACAGGGAAATGGAGGATCTAGAAGATCCTGATGTCGAGGATTTTTGAAGAATTATTTTCGTTTTTGAGGGGGGATAATACGAGGTGGCAGTTTTGGTAACTATTTGGCTGGGGAAATAGAAGATCTAGGGAATTTTGGGGAATTATTATCAAGATTTTGATAAGAGAATTGGGGATCTAGAAGACGCAGGCTGCCTGCAGAGATCTCGGGGATTCTACCAGCTCGGCTGTTTAGGGTTTCCCGAGTAACTAGGAATGACGATATTGGGGGAATAATTTGGATAGGGAAATGGAGAATCTAGGGAATTTTTGAGAATTGTTATTAAGATTCTGATGAGAGAATTGGGGATCTAGAAGACGCAGGCTGCCTGCAAAGATCTCGGGGATTCTACCAACTAGGCTGTTTAGGGTTTCCCGAGTAACTAGGAATGGCGGTTTTGGGGGAATAATTTGGATAGGGAAATGGAGGATCTAGGGGATCCTGATGTTGAGGATTTTTGAAGAATTATTTTCGTTTTTGGGAGATAACACGGGATGGAAGATTTGGTAACTTTTTGGCTGGAGAAATAGAAGATCTAGGGAATTTTAGGGGAATTGTTATCAAGATTTAGGAGAATTGAGCATCTAGAAGAATTTTTGAAGGATTGTATATGCTTTTTGAGGTGATGGAGCTTATTAGAATATATGATTGCTTAGAGATTATGATAGTGAGAATTTTTGAAAAAAAGAAATTTTATTTCTTTTTTTTTTTTGAACAACGTGAAGATATAAGAAAACCTATGGGTTTAAGGGAGTAATGGAGAGTTCTGGAGTAATGGAGTTTGAAGTAATGGAAATTTGGACGATTGTTTAAGTGAAATGGAAGATCTAGAAGACCTCAAGTATCGCGAATCGGTTCCGTTTTTCGAAGCAATCAGGTATGATGATCTTGCTGATTGCTCGAGTGAGGCGGTAAAAGAAGTTCTGGAAGATTACGATGCTGAGTATTCTTGGCGAAATGTTTCGTTTTTTCCGGTAATGAGGGATGGAGTGTTGGTTGGAAGATGAAGGATCCTGGACATTATAAAGCTGAGATTCCTGAAGAATCGTTTTCGTTCTTTGGTGTTACGCGGAAAGAAAATTTTGATGGTCGTTTGGTCGAAGAGGTAAAGGATCCGAGAGCTTATGATCCTTCTGAAGATGCTCGACGGAATGTTCCAGTCTTTCCAGTAATGAGGAGTGAAATTTTGGTCGAGAGATAAAGAATCTCGGACGTTATAAAGCCGGACATTCTTCAGGGATTATTCCTGTTTTTTCGAGAAGCGAGAAATGAGAATTTCGATGGTCATTCGAAGGATCTGTCCTGAAAAACACTCCGCTTTCGGGTAACACGCAATAAAAACCCTTGATGGTTACTTGGATAAAAACAGGACGACGAAAAAATTTACAGAATTCAATACAACCTAAGCTCTCTCAGCCTAACAACTAGCAGCCTAACTCAGCCATAGTTCACTCCTCGAAATCCACTAAGCTCCCTACACAATTATTCCCAAATTCCACTTTCAAAAATCAAATACTAATCCCCAGAACAACCAACAAAGCCCGAGATCCATCCAGCTTTTCAAATCCCCAAAACCACTCTATAACTCGTCGAAACCCCGTGTTCTCCATGTACTCCGCGACCCTTCTAAAATTCGCGAAACCCTATCGAAAACCCAGACGATTCTCTTCGACAAACCCGATCAAAAGAACTTTATCTCCTCGGGGAAAGCGAAAATTATTTCCCTAGGAAAGCGAGAATTATTTCCCTAGGAAAGCGAGAATTATTTCCCTAGGAAAGCGAAATCCCAACTTGTACCCCAACTCTGTCTTCGACCTAGCTCTATCCCTAGACTGAGTACCTAGATTTGGTCCTGTGACCAGTCTGGGGATTCCCAAAGTGAAGAAACGTTGGGAAAATAATGTTATTGGCCGTAATTCGTCAAAACAGGAAAATTGCGGTCGTGATGGCGGCGAGCCTGGCGAACGGCTGTCCCCTGGATCGGGTGGAGAAATTGATATTACGTAAGTTGTAATGGCGGAGTGCGAGGACGCGAATGGGAAAAAAGCAGGCGAAACGGGCGTCCAGCGTCGACTAGTCGCCATAACGACTGGTGTAAATTATAAATGCCTCCTTTTGCCCGTGTCTCTCGAACGATCCTCGTCATCGTGCAACACAGCCTTAATGGCGGCCGGTGAAAAAGAAGGCGCGCGAGCGCCACGCCGCGGCGGCCGCGACGTCGGCCATCTGTCCCCGTGAAAGAAGAAAAGCGTCTCGTTCGCATGCCATGACCATAAGGCCGCCTCATGCAAAAGAGAAATTCGCCTGGTGAATAGCGCGGCCAAGTTACGCGTGCATAGAAAGAGAGAGGGGTCGAGGAGGGGGCCCGAGAGAGGGAGAGAGAGAGAGATAGAGGGACCTTATGAAACTCGTTTGCCGATTCATAGAGAGAGGGTTGAGCAACCACTCGTTTCCAAAAATTCGAACAAAACTACCGGCACCGGTGTTTTGCGTGGGAACCTTGGAACAAAGCTGCCGGAGAAGAATGGCGCCAGATTTTCTCCCTTTTTTCTGCTTTACTCCTCCTTTTCGTCTCGTATTTTTTCGGCTTATCGAGCTCGCGAGCTGGTGGCGATTTTCGGTGTGCCCGGAGTGTTCCAGGTGATCTATTATGCGTCTGGTTTGGTTCACTCGTTAGACGCGGCTTTTCCGTTTAAAAACAGAGAGGAAATTCGCGAAATTTTTCCTTGCTCCCTCGGCGAAGTGGCAGTTTAATAGACGTGGCTACAAAAATTGGAAAATCCTAACATTTACCTTGGACAAATGGGGTAAGTTCGCTTCAGAATGATACGACAACAGTCAGAAATTTAAATATCAGCATTTTCAAACTTCGAACCTAACCTCGCTAGAATAAATGCCAGGATTCATCAGTTTCCAGGCTTTTATAGTTGTCTATGTATCACGAATAACGTATAAGGACATATAATTTTGAGGACTGCGATGAGACAGAGGCACGAACACTTCTAATGGTTCATCGAGCTCTTAAAAGATCTTTTAATCCTGTCTATTCCGTCTAGTTAACTTTCTTTTCCTTTTCATCCAGCAATATCCCACTCGCACAGCGTCACACGAAATCCTTTGATCCCCATTATTCGCATTAGATAGTCATGGTACATAGTCTGGCCAGCGATTCGTCATCGGGATTTTCGACGAACCTGACAGCTCCAATCGCCGACTATTAATAATTTTATTCCACGCACGTTCCATCCCCGGAGTAGAGGAAACTGTACCCAAAGATAGAGAAGTTTCCGCGAAAGGAGTGTCTAACTTGGGACATGCACAGTTGCCGGGATCAGTCTGTAGCCGTCCGCGCTGATGTATGTGCATTTTCGAGGTACTTTCACGGAGGCAAGTTCGATTTCCCCGCGAATCTTCGTGTCCGTTCTGATATTTGGGCACCTCGTGTGCCCAGAGCGATCTTTCACCCGGTGAATCCTGAACCCGCAAAATTGGCTCGTTCCGCCGTGAGGGAGCGGAGAGGATGAAGGAAGGCTCGTGCCGCCGTGAGGGAGCCGGCGAGGAAGAAGGATGGCTCGACGGACCAAGGGGACTCGGGTCCATGGTATATGCATATTTCGAGGAAACCAAAACAGGAGTCGGAGTAGGCGATGAATTAACAAAACGTCCCACTGTCCCTGCGGAGCGAGCGTTGGCCGCGTGGTAACGCGGGAGCAAAAGTGCACGGAATATCCCCGATGCTGTGCCGTGTGTGCATCGCGCATCGTTAGCGGTCACGTGCATTTCACACGGTCCCGTATCCCTTTATTAAACCACGGAACACGTGTGACGCTTTTCCGTTCCGGGACTGAATCGAAAGACGTGTAGTACACCGTTGCGCAAAAGTGCTAGATTGCGCGTCCATTTGCGTATATTTTAATTAACAAAGTGAATGATGGAAAAAAATAACCGGGACTCGATTCTACGTGTAAAAATAAGTCAAAATGGTGGAATACAATTTTTTCGCTCGAGGCTCCATTTTCGGGGAAATCGAGCTCGAAGTGGGGTGCCCACTCTTTGCATCGCGTTTTAATGCAGCGAATTTCAGTGCAAACTGTAGATTTGATACGATATAACGTAGTATAACATTGCATGTGAGAAAACACTACTGTTTTCCAACGGGCACAAAGGGAAAGTAAAATGGAAACCAAAGCGCATCCCATGAATTTTCAAATTCAGTTTTCTTGAAAACGAAGCTTCGGGCGAAAAAATTTTTCTCTTGCTTTTCGACTTATTTTTGGGTGCAGATTCGCCTTCTGCTCGCTTGTGTCGCTAATTATTAAATACTTTATACGCG